TGAAACTTCCCAGAGGAGGTGGGGCTTGATTTGAACTTGAAAAGATGAGGAGACGTTGGACAGGTAGAGATGGGAGCAGGGAGTTCATGATCTGGATTTGCTCGCTTAAACCTCAGTGAGATGGTGTCTTCCTTGCTTACATTACATTTTTGGTACTTGGCAATGTGCAGACAGGGAAGGAAATAAGGAAAAAAAGGAAGAAAAACATGATTATATATATGTCCTCATGATTCTATTTTTTTCCCCACTCATCTTCCATACCCTCACATCGTTTGATCAGATTAGGACAGGACAGGCTTAAGGTGACAACCCCAACATGTCATTGGTTTTACACAGGGGTGGGAGATAAAAATGGAAACTCAAGGTGGGACCTGTTTGGAAGGTGCAAAATGATGGCATCAGAGACTTGAGACCCAGATATCCTTGAAAGTTGGACCTCCCATTTGAGAGTAAGCAAGGGAGACTCCGAAAGTTTCACCTGGGCACAGAATTCTTTTAGTGACCAAGCAGAAATACATCCCAGATGTCTTGATTCTTATTTTACTGCTGTATCCACTAAAAATGGGAAAATTACATTTTAAAATAGCAAGCTTAGTTATGAGAGAAGATGTGTGGTTTCTAACCCTTACGAGGTTTTACTATTTCTAATCTGTTACTTTCTCATTGATACAGGTCAATAAGACCTGGAACCTGTTTTCCCTTTAATTAATTCTGTAAAAAGAAGCCCTCGTGATACTTTAGGAAGTGCACTGCCACCACTGTGTCACACATAAAACCCTGGATATGGGCATTTCCCATAAAAGTGAAAGTGTCACGAGTAACAGCAGAGACACACACACACCACCGTTGCCCTCTTCCCGATTCCTTTTGCACCCAGTCATTATCTCATCTACCCTGTAAAGAGCCTTCTATGACCTTGGGCAAATCTTTTAGCTTTTCATATCCTATTGTCCTCACTCCCTAGCACATGTGTGACAGGTTGAAATTTTTGAAGCCATAACTGGTTTCCAATATGTCCGCCGTGCTACTGGTGTCCTCCCCCAGTACAGGCAGGGAGGCGGGCTTGTGCTCATCCCCTCAAGGCATGCATCTGACAGCAGAAAGCACAGGGGAAAGAAATTAAAAATACTCCCCCGCCCCCCAACCGCCCCGGCTTTTAAGTTTCAAATACCCAGACACTAGGCGAGTAGAAAGGACTCTGGGGCACAGAGAAAGGATTTGGAAGGAAGTTGGAGCGAGGTTTTCTAAGTGATCTTTCCTTCCTTCCCCTTTAGGTTAGCAAGCGACCCCCTAGGTCTGGAACTAAGATTCTGCTATGCTGGTGGGATGGGGGCTTAAAAATTAATAATGTTGAGTTGCAGAGAAATTTAACGGTATCTATTTCTTCCAACCACCTGTTTGTAGATGGAGATTCATGCCAGCCCCATGTGTGAATGCATCTGACTTCCCTGAGAATCTTTGTCAGCACATGGTCACTCTGTGCACTGATTAGAACCCTCAAAAGATGGGGAATCAATCCATTCCAAGGCAAACCTTTTGTCCCTGCTGGGAAGTCCTTGCTGATTTCAGGAATACCACCAGTCTAATGAACCCGAGTTGGAAAGAGGACTATATAAATTTAAATGTTCCTGGTTACAGTGCAAGATGGTTGGCAGAAAGGGAAAAGAGGGCAAATTCTGCTTTGTTAGAAGTTGCTGACTGAATTCTCTGAGTCCCAGGAGGCCACCTAAAGCGGCCATGCTCTGACCGTCCTGAGGCTGCTCTGATAATCTGTTCTGAGAGCTTCCGTTCATTCCACCAGACTCCCGTTATCCCAGCCTGGGTGCTGCAAATACCCAAATACTAGTAAGTGTCACAGCGGGTCCGATTGATAGGGATGGGAGCGGGTCACGTTTCTTACGTACCTTGTTGGCTTTTGAAAGTGGAACATCAGGTTAAAGAAAGAATGAAAAATACATAAATGTATGTATGTTTACATACTTTCCAAGTAGAGCATGGAAATTCTACTTCAGAAGGGCTTTTAAAAAAACAACCTGACTCTAAAAGAAAAATTGGAACAGAGTGTGAGGAGAAGAAAGTGCCAGCCTGGGGGCCCCCCACTTCTCCTGGGACACCATCAGTTTTACCGCTTGCCATGTCTCCCTTAGAACTGCGAGTTTGTTTTTCACACTCAGGCCTTGTAAGTTCCTTCAGAACAAGGACTTCTCACTCCTGGCTCTTGTCCTCATGGTCTTGTTCAGACTGGTGAACGTTGGCTAGGTGACCCCTAACTGGCTATAGTGGATTAAGTAGCCTTTCCTATCACTCCAAACTTGAACTCCAGCCAGGGATCTATTGTTTAGATATCTGACATCATGGGATATTTGGTAAGAAAGCTTAATCCATCCACAATGTTCAAAAAATCTAGGGCAGGATGGATCTCCAACATTATACGACAAGCTTTGATTGCTTTCAGCAGAGGTCTGACTGGTTCTTTGAATCAGCCATTGGCTTTACGTTCAGGTGTAATGTATTCTGAACAGTAACCCAGTAAATCAGTCTCAAATCCTGCGCCAAACGTTCTTCCCAGATTCAGACAAAAGGCAGAAGTTTGGTTAGAATTTTCTCAATGATTCTATGTCCAGTTTGTGTGAGCCAAGACCCCCCAAATACTATTAAACTCCTTAGTGATGTGAACCAGATGGAAAATAAAACAAAAGAATTCACAACTCATGTTAGACTGAATTGAATGTCTTTAATTTCACACAATGAATAACATATGAATAGGATTAACTTTTTTTTTTTTTAATAGTTAAGTGCTCTATACTGTGCTAACCTGATCTGGTAGCGAAAAAGACTGAGCTTTCTTTTAGAAAAAATGTTTAAAACCCAACATCTAAGACCATGGAGGAGCATGACAGTAAAGCATGCCAGATGTATCTACGCCTCAAATAACAGCAAGTCCGTGTTCATTTTAAATGTACAAAAATGCTTTATGAATAAAAACTGTTACAAAAAGAACATTTCAAACAATGTACAATTTTCTTGCCTCTATATTCAATAAAATACAAATACATTTTTTGTTCTAAAATATGTTTACATACAATCAAAGTAGAACATGCAAATTACACTTTAAAAAAGGCTTTTAAAAACCACTTATGAATACAAACTAAAAATTAGCCAGCACGACTTATAAGACAATCTTGTGCCCCATTTTTTTCTTTTGAAATATATATATACATATTTAACACATCATGTGCATTTATTATTATTTAAGAAATAGATTTTTTAAAAAAGGAAAAGAAAGACACCAACCTAGGTTGGAACTGCCCTTCAGTGTTGACCGGTGGCAGCTCTTCTCAATCCTTCCCCCCTGTAGTGTTTATTATACCTGGGGAAGTGGGTAATCGATATCCAGGAAGTTTCTTCCTTGGTTGATATGTGCTTCTAAGACTGTTCCCCAAATGACCGAGTCCCATGGGAGGGAAGACTCATCAATGGGGCAAACTCTCCAAGAAACAAGAGGCAGAGGGAGCCTTGTATTGTGGAAAGAAACTTTAAAAAACACCAAGAAAATGCTACGGTATATTACAGTTTGAGTTTCTAGGCACTGTGATGACATTATCTGTAAGCTCTGGCATTTGGACCATTGTGATACTAGAGGGTAGTGTTGAGAATAATGTCTATATTTATCTACTCTTACATGATGAAAAGGACTGAAAATCCCGCAATGTAACACTTAAATGGCTTCTGAGGCATTTCGGCTTCTGCCACCCCGTCTCTCTCCATGCTACAGTTGGCATTTAAAGGCTTTGGAAATATATGTATAGACTTCAGACAGTTCCCAGGTAAATCTTCCTAGTGGTAGGAAAAAAATATTCTCCAAAAACTCATTGTCTGAATATCGTTGGGTAATAAGCTCTAGGAGTGGGATTTTTCTCCAAAAGTACTAAACCCAAATCCTTTATGATCTGCATGTAGTACATCACCTGATACTATAATTCTGTCACCACTTATCATATTTATAGAGCCAGCAATGTGCAGAGCGCAAATTCCGGCTGCCATAGAACATGGCCTCCCACTCCGGACAGTAGCCAAGTGAACATGCTAATCCTCTGTCAGCCCTTAGTCACCTACTCTGGGCTGTCAGTGGTTGTTGAGTCCCGGTCCTGCCAAGTCACAACCCAGCCCCTGACATGCTCTCCTTTCTTTTGACCTATCTTCCCTGGGTTGTAGCCAGAGCCATGCTATTTGAGGAAGTCAGACTTCTGGATCTTTCATCTGAGATGAGGGGTTGAAAAGCAAGTGGCTCCTCAGCCACTAAGGAGGGTAGATCAGAAGACCCATCATCACCTAGAAGGAGGCTTTTACATCTCAGTTTATCCTCTGCTCACCCCTAATCAGACTCTCTATAAGTGGGTTCACGCCTGCTTGCTGAAGGGAAGTATTCCAGAAAAACAAAAGAAAACAAAACAAAAGATTTCTAATGAAATAATTTGTGGAGGTGTTTATGGAGTCCTATACATCCCAAATGACATCTTCCCTAAATAAAAATGCAGCCCCAGAAGGCATGTTGACTGGCTAGAGATGCCTCGGTCCAGTTCAAGATTGCTGGGGTTCTTATCCTGGGTCTGCAGCAAATGAGAGGTGAAACTAGACTGGCCCAGTGTTGAGCCTGGACAGGAGAGGTGAGGCTAATGGGAAGGGGTTAGTTAGAGAATAAGGAGAAGGTTGTACCAGTGAGAGAAGTTAAGTTAATGGAAGGTAGAAGAAAAAGGGAAACGTCACGTGACATTGAAGGGGCGCGGGGCAGGGGAGGGAGGAAGTTGGCAGGTGCTGGGACTTGCTTCCACCTTCCATGGGCTTATTCAGCATGTCTCACCCTGGGTCCTCTGCAATTTTCTAATCTATTTTTAGGGTCCTAAGTATGGAAGATTTGCATTTAAGTCACATGACAACTATAGAACTGAGTTGATGTATAAGTGAGAAGCCTGCTGTATCCCTCCAGGAATGCCTGGTCTGGAAATTCTAACGCATCCTTAACTTTTCTGAAATTTCTCTCCAACTAGAGGTTAATGTCAATTAGGGGTTGGGTCCTTCTTTAAGACGTTTAGAGAGGGGCCAGCTCATTCTCGTCTGCAGGAAGGTTTAGTCTGCTCACAGTCTTGGTTGGGGAAATGCTTGGAAGAAGGGCAAATGCAAGAATGAAGGAAATGATTTTTCAAAGCCTGACAGGAGAGAAATCCCTTTATGGTTTAATTGGAATGAAAATGGTTGCTCTTTCATAGCAATGGTGGGGTGAGCGGGGCTAATTTAAATCTTCCTCTCCGGTGACTTTAGAACCACTCAGACATGGCTTGGGAATGACAAATTGAAAGTGGCTGGTTTGATTTTGCTGTTCAACTTGTGTGAAATGCCAAAGGTCCACCTAGGTCACAAATGGAGTATCTATGATATAAGCTTTAAAGTACAGGAGAATGCATCCCTTTAAACTTACATATTACTAGGATTAAATGTGACTGACCTAGTGGGGAGCAAATGATGTTAAGTCCAAGGTGACAGGGCAGAATAGGATGGCTCTGTGGGTAATTTCAACCAATTGTTGGTGCCACGACAGAGCAGTGATGTTCGCAAGCATATTAACTTGGGATTTTTAAAATTTACTCCCATAGATACCCCATCACTTATTCTCCTGTGTTCCCAACAAAAATCCATCTCTAAGGAAATAGTGTTGTGTTTTGAAGTGATAATACAATTTCCAGCCAGTCCCAAGTTCCTGTAAAGAACCTTAATTTGGAGGTAAACCAGATATTCTAATTCCCATTAGAAAATTGAATTCTGTCTCTCAGTGTCTCTCTTTTTATAATCTACCATGCCAGGTGTTTGATGTCTTGGGGAAGGTAAGGGGAGGAGGAAGGGAGGAAATTGAAAATACTTATTTGAAATTTCCACATCTGACTTTTAGAAAACATCTACGGTGATGGAATAACTTCATATTCGTTCTGAGTCTTCTTAACATGTTTCACTTGAGCTGTGGAAATGGGTGTTAGAGATGGAATATCTGTCCACGCTAAACCGATGGCTAGAGTACAACTTGGATGAGAAATGTACAGTTGAAATTGACCATTTAAAAGACGATTTGTCACACACAGTTTGCATCCATGCAGACTGATAGATTTATAATTACATTATGTACAAAAATGTTTTAGTTTATTAAGGCAACCACAATTTGGATACTTTGTCCAAGGTGGCTTGATACAATTGGAGTGGTGATACCCTTTGAGCATTTTCTTTTCTTTCTTTCTTTTCTTTTTTTTTTTCCCAGATAAGAACACTTACTCCCATTTGCTTTTAAGAAATAATTACCAAGAGATAATGGACTTATTCTATTGTCTTGTTGTTTCCTTTTTTCAACGACTTATGATAGTTACTTGTATGAAAATTCACATACCAAGGCATTGCTAGACATTTGTCTTTCTGGTGGGTCTGGGGTTTCAATTTTTGGTGATTTGTCAGTTATTCCATTTGCTGTGGGTTTTTAAAACCATTTTATTCTGCCTATTCTCTGCTGATATGTTTTAAGTATAAAAATAACCTGGTTGACACCCCGGCCAACATATCCTCGGCTGCTCTAAATCACTTATTAAAAAGGCTCTATCAATACTGAGTATCTGTCTCACAATGATTGGGATTCAAAGCCAAGTTCCTTGGGACAGCATGCCAAGGGTGAACATTACAACACACATAAAGTTTACATTATTTAGGTGTGTACCAAGGAAAAGAAGGCAACAAGTAAGTTAATGAAAAGGTACAGGGAAGTACAATGGGCAAAGGAAAACTAGGAACTGACTACACGAAGTATCAGTGTGTGGTACAGAGGAGGCATCCAGAAGGATCTGGATCCACGTCTAAGGTTGCCTATCACTAGCATTCCACCTTCTGATGACGAATCCATCTGAGAAACTGTATGGTTAACGGAAAGATTCAGGTCACCTGAAGATGATGTTGGTGCCCCGAAGCCTAGCCGAGCTTAGAAAAACCAAAATAAAAGTAAAAACCAATTAAATGGAAATGGGTTACAACAAAGCCAGTCGAGAAATTTGCAGCTTTTCTCCCCTTGGAATGTTTCCTAATTGAGGGTGCTTCCCTTTCAATTTTCCTGGCCAGCAAATGCAATGGAATCAGAGACGCACCTTGGATGCAGGAGGTCGGGTGGCTGTCGGAGAGCACCACCGGCTTTCTGCTCCTCCATGGGTCTTCTGCTCGCCTGCAAAGGATCTAGCCATACTGAAGTGCCACGTGGTTTGCAACTGCTGTAAAGCACAGACAAGCTTCTTTTGAAGGCGTCCCCCTGCTTTGCTTTCCCAAGAGCTACTGATGGCTCCACCCCGTCATCGGGCGCGATTCTGCCTGCCCAGCTTCTGGAGAGAAGGGCATCGGTGTCCCTGCAGCGTGGGATTCCGCCCCCACCCCGGCTCACTGCACTTCCAATGTGTCAGTTCCCCCAGCCCCAGGTTCAGACGCCCAGACCCACCCTAGGGAAGGCCATCACTCTCACTCCCTCGGGACTTCCTCTGCCTTTTGGCCTTCACCTCCTCTTCCTGGGGCAGGGGCTGCTGCGGGGGCGGCTGCTGCAGGGGCTGAGCAGGAGGCTGAGGTTTGTGTTTCCTCTTCCCTCCTCCTCGGGGGGTCTTGGGCAGGGGTGGGGGAGGCGGGGGCGGCGGTGGAGGCGGGGGCGGGAGGGGCGGTGGGGGCGGCGGGGGCAGGGGCGGCGCCTCCCGGGCCATGTGGATGACCGCCTCGATGGTAGCCATGATGGTGTCTTGAGTGGCTGCTGGCTCCAAGACGAGCGGGCTCAGGCTCGGCTTCTGCCCCCTCTTGCTGGGAAGGTCGATGCATTTTTCCAGCACCGGCATTTGGTCTCTGGAGTCCTCATCGAACTGCGTGGGCTGCTTTCGCGGACGCCCTCTCCTCTTCTTGACGAAGTTGTTGCCTGTCTTTGATTGTCTCTGCAGCCGCTTGGCCTTCAGGATCTTGTTCACGTGGTCCAGGTTCTTCTTGGTGGACAGGATCTTGGAGTAGTTGCACATCTTGCGCACCTCGCACTGGATGGCCTCGATCTCCCGCCGCTTGAATCGCTTCTTCAGGGAGGAGCTGGCTGCAGGAGGGGAAGAGAGAAGGTTGAGCACCAGAGGCAAGCTGCCCGAAACCCAGCCTGTGTAGGGACGACTGGCACTGTACTTGGCCGTGACGATCCTGGAAAAGCAATGCTATGGATGTGACCCAGTATCTATTCTTCCTTTCTCTTTATGGAAATTGAAAATAATAAAAATAGTAAGTATCTTCTGTGTACATGGCATTCCTTTCATACCATTTCAGTCTTCACAACAATTCTGTGAAATACCCTTGTTGCTGTTTTTGAGACTTAGAAACTGAAGCTCACACCTTGTAGGAAACTCTGCCCTGGTGATCAAGGTCAGACTTGGTGCTCCCATGACCTTTCCCTATTGTAACTTTTTTTTTTTTAATTTTTTTTTTTTAAGATTTTATTTGTTTATTTGACAGACAGAGATCACAAGTAGGCAGAGAGGCAGGCAGAGAGAGAGGAAGGGAAGCAGGCTCCCTGCTGAGCAGAGAGCCCGATGCGGGACTCGATCCCAGGACCCTGAGATCATGACCTGAGCCGAAGGCAGCGGCTTAACCCACTGAGCCACCCAGGCGCCCCTTTTTTAATTTTTTTTATTTAGCCCTGTGACATTTGATCTGACCGAATTTAGGATTAGGTTATGCTTTCTCTTTTTGTAGATGTCGGATGCAAAAAATGACAAAAAGTCCTTTATAAAAAGCAATCTGGATCATTCATACCTACTACCAACCTCACAAAAGACACACCTTGACCTTGACACACCTTGTACACGAAACCCCTTACCTCTAATCCTCCTCTACTGACAGAAAGGGGGATTATTTTCTGGGACACTCTATTTGAGATGACACCATTTCTCTAACTTTTGCCCCCAGTGTTCTGGATTTGTCAAGCTGCCTGAAGTGTCCCACTGACTGAATGACTAACCAATTCATCCTCTGGAAACCTTGAGGAAAATCAGCCAGATGTTTCTGAGTCATTCACACTCCCCGTAGTGGGCTGTCTGTTGTCTGCAAAGAGCTCTTTTCATGTCCTACTGGCCAGATGCACCTGTACTGTCAGAGTCAAACTTCTAGTCTCCAGAAGTCCGGTATTGCCACCACTAACCAGCCTTCAGAACCCCTTCCCCTGCAAGTTCAGACACTGTGAAGTGTGAATAGCTTCAAGACGTAGCGGACCTTTCCTCCTGTAGGTCATTCCTTCTCCCTGTGCAGTTCCTGAGCAGACACGCATGTACAACCATGTGTGTGCCCATGCGCTTGCGTGCGCACTCTCGGGCACTCACACGTACTCTGCTGCCCCATCTCCAGACTGGCCCCTCCCTTTTTATGAACCCAAGAGGTGTGTCCTCACTTAGTTTTTTTGCTGCTGTGATGCACCCTAAATGCTCAACCCCAAGGACGCCATGGAGAAGATGCCGACCCTTACTAAACATTACTGAGACTGAAAGGAAATGTGTTTATTCTGGCATCATGGTTTGCTGTGTTATTCCAGGTTTTTTTTAACCAGTAGAGAGGCAGAGTAAATTATCTTAAGGGAAATGAGGAATAAAAATGCTGAAAACATGGATACCACTCTCACTTATTCTGGGGCACTCCCACTTTATTCCTTTCCCTGCTTCACCCCCCTTTCTCTCTCATGCTGTGCCTGACACAGAACTCCAAGAGGGGATCATTTGAAGTTATTTACGCCACAGGCTTTATGGAGTGGGAAGCTCTAAGTCCCACAGGACAGGTCAAAATGTTACTGCTTTCGGCCCAAGGTCATTGTAAGACTTACTGAGCAATGAATAACTACTGAACAATCTTTAAAATAAGTTATAAAGATCAAAATAGAACAAAGCCAGAGTGAGCTTCTGAGTATAAAAATAAATTGTTTGTAGTTGGTGTTGTGAAAGGAAAAAGGTTGCTCAATTGTACGTTCTCAGATGGGGAGGCAAATTTTTGTCCATCTTTATGTCCCTCACACAACGTTGGCATGCTGTCTTGCCCATGGGCGTCATTTGAAAATTGTTTTTGGACTGATGAACCACACTAATCACTGCTGCCTTAGAATCACAGGCTTCTCTAGAAGAGATCTAGTTTGGATTCTAAAGCAACCACTGCAAACAGAGCGACAGGAAGAGCTCGCAAGCCTCTAGGTCCCAGCCAGGCAATCTACCTTGTCCGCCCAGTTGGTGAGTAAATGAGAATGAGTCGGAGGTTCTCCACAGACCTCAGGCATTCTTCCCAAGACAGACGGCATCTGCAGTTTACCTTTTTATCAGTTTATCTCATCTTTGGGGAAGAAAGCACTATGGAATGTATCATATAGCATACAGGTAAAAAGTAAAACATTTTTAGGCAATTACCTGGCAATATTCCAGCTGAATAAACCTGGAAAACTCTATGAGCTGTGGGTCACTGGGGATCAACACAAGCACTGGCTTGTCTCTTGCTGTGTTTTCTTTTTAGCATGAAGTGCCAAAAACAAACAAATGAAACCTAGTAGATAATACCGTATTCAGTAATTTATTCTATGTTGTATATATTTTATTAAGCCCTTGCATTGAAAAGTGATTATGAAATCAGTTGATTCTGAGTAGTGTAAATGTACCAAACAGTACTAAAAATATTATTAGCAACTCCTTTGCACCCACCATTCACAATGAACAAATGTTAACTTTCACCACATATGCATTATTTTTTTAAGGAAAGAAAATATTATAGGTTTAGCTCAATCAGTGCTCCTTTCTCCTTTCCCTTCCCTTCCCTCCCCTCCTCTTCCCTTCCCATGCTTGTATTTATACTTTTACTGCATATGCTTGAACCCATATTAGGAAAAATGACCAGGCTGAAACCATCTAATGCTGGTGATGTTGTAACGAAGTGGGGACCCTTGCACACTGTTGGTGGGAGTGGAAACTCATCATCATATCAGAGAGCAGCTGGGCAGTGACCACTGGCACTGAAAATGGGCATGCTTAATGCCCCAGAGATTGTGTTCAGGCTGCCTCCTTTACTCATTTATAGCAGGAGGCTGAGGATGTATAACGATGTTCCTTGAAGCTCAGAAGACTGAAAATAATCTAAACGTTAAAGGTATAATTAATCAGTTGTGATACAGTCAAACAACAGAATATTATACATCTGTCAAAAGGAAAAAGCTACACATAATATATCAGTGTGGTTAAATCTAAAAAAAAAGTTGGATAACAGAAGTGAATAAAAGTCCTTGTAAATATACTATTTGTAAAAGTATAAAAACACACAGATCCCTTGAATTTTTATTTCATTTTCAATGTCCAGGTGCAGAGGTTTAAAGTAAATACAATGCAGAAGCTCAATTTTGAGTTAAAGGCTAGCTGGCTGAGATTTCATTCTTCCTTCTCTCCAAAGCTACCCCATGGCCCTTTAGTAAGCCTCTAGTGGAGTGCTTTCTAGTACAAGTTTCTGCGGTGGTGGCAATATTCTGTATCTGTGCTGTCCGATTTGGTAGCCCCTAGCCACATGTGGCTACTAAGCCCCTGAAATGTGGCTGATGTGACAGAGAAACTGCATTTTTAATTTAACTTGTATCTAAATAGCTCCATGTGGCTAGTGGTTACCATACGGGACAGCTCAGCTCTTGTCCCAACACCACAAAATAAGGAGGTACACTGGGTTCATTCAGGAAAACACAGACTGCGGGAAATTCTGGGCACACCACCTGGCGGCTTTAACAAATAAAATGCAAGGAAAGAAAGGTAGGGGAGGGGGTGAAACTGTACATTAAAAGAGACTTAAGAGATAAAAGGACCACATTTTGCTTCCAGTTTAAACAAACTGTCAAAAGAGATCATATTTCATGAGTTCATGGAATTCTGAATACTGTCTGGGCATTTCATGATATTATTTAACCACTGTTTATTTTCTTAGGTGTTTGGTAATTGTTATGACAATTTTTTAAAGTACTCATCTTTTAGAAATATTTGCTAAACTATTTATAGATAAAGTCACTTGGTATCATCTGGGATCAGCTTTGGAATAACAAGGAAGGGAGGAAGTGAGTAGAAGTATTGATGGAGTAAGATTGACTCTGAAGTGATATTGTTGAGGCTGAGTGATGGGCACACAAAGGTTTATTATGCTATTCTGCCTACTTTGGTATATACTCGATAATTCCGTAATACGTAGTTAAAAACCTATACATGGTAAGTGCCAATAAAATATCTTTCTTATAATCTTAGGACAGTAGAGTGCAGGGGCTCTATTTCACCTAAATAATTTTCGAAGGGTAAGAAATGTCCTCAGTGAAAAAGGCATGCATCATCTCCCTAGAAAATTCCTGCTGGTAGTAACCATCCTGGGAGAAGGAATGAGTGCTCTGGGGTTTACGCTGTGATCAAATGAATAAACACATCAGGACCCAGTCTCCATGATGCCATCAGATGTGAAGACTTAATATCCCTCTTTCTTTTTGACATTAGAAACTTTGGAGGAAGGGGTTCATATTTACTGGACATCTGAATATTATTTTGTCCTTGTATGCACAACCCAAATATTTCAGTTGGGGTTTGTTCCCCCTGTGTGTGAACCGTAGCAGAGTGCAGGGCGGCGGGAAGGACTCTTCAGGGGCAGCTGGAAATCCTGAACAAGGACGAACCTCTTAGCTCCTCTGGATCGCTCTTTCTTCATCTATTGCACTGGACAGTTAGACAGATGCTCTCAAAATTCCCTTCTAGATTTAATGATTGCTGTTATTCTTTCCTATCCTCATTATCCATTGCCTTTCCAAATGTGAGGTGGATTTCTACAACATTTACTCCCTCTAATGATTTTGAAATCCTAGTGGTGGGGGGTGGGGCGGGGACTTTGGACTTGGCAGGGTTTGATATTCACAAATCTTTCTCCTTATTGCTTATGATTTCATTGTCCCTCTAAATGTTTTCAGATTTTTCTCTCTTCAAATTGTTTCATTATTAGACAGTAATTTCTGGGCTCTTGCAGCAAAGATTGATTCCATATTTGCTCCCCTTCTTATAATGGATCCATATC